AAAAAAAAAAAAAAAAAACCCATCCTATAGAGGATATGGAGCCAGCACCATACGGCCCTGTTTTTCGCAAAAAAAAAAAGGATTATCCGCTAGCTTATCCAATGGATAGGGATAACCCGCAGAATCAAATTGAATGCAGCTCGAAAGTAGCAAGGACACTAACCACCAGTACTCGGCCCAACTATCCGTCAGGGGCCTTAACCGTTAACGCACCCCGACCTGCGTGCTTCGGGGTACCAGACAACAAAGGCTGGAGGCGCCAGCCAAAAAAGAAAAAAAGAACCGTTACGCTAGCGGTTTGGCAAAACTAGGTGCGCACCACGTTTCGAGGCTCGTCATCGATAGTTGGGCCACATACTGAGGGCACTCTAAAGAATGAATGGAGGACAAACTCCGAGATGAAATGAACTGCAGCCGGAATCCTATGAAACAAATGTGACCTTATGTGGGTAGAGACATAAAATTGTTGAAGCAAAGGTAGTCGAAGTTAATCAGACAAAATGCAGCTTCATCCCACGTTTATACGAAAATGATAATCGGCAGGATACAAAAACAATTATAGACCCATAATGATTTCGCTTGCTCTCCTCATGGTAATATGGAGAATGAGATGCTCAGCTGAAAGGCAAGACTGTGCCTTTGGATTCCACCGCCAAAGCCAAACTAGCAGAGGTCATCCAGGCAAACATGCTGAAAGCCAGCAAAAAACTGGCAGAGGCTATGGTAACGACCTCTGACCAGGCGGCCAGGCCGAAATTACTACAGACCTTTGTGGAAAACTGGATCGACCCACACCAAAAACTGGGCGAGGTGCAGGAAAATGGAAAGATATTGTGGAAAAACTGGGTGGCACAGGACCACCGCTGGATTTATAGACCGGCATAATGCTTTCCTACACCACTGCCAGGGCGGACTACAGGAGCAATGGCAGGGAGCCTGAGTCCCAGGGGACAGGATCACATCCCGCACGCTGGATCCCCCCCTGCCGAACCTTCCGCCTCCCCTTTGCCATGGCCCCCCCCTTTCCCGCCCTGCCCACCTACCCTTGTCCCTTCGTCCCCTCCCCCGTCGCGGTTAACTTGCCCCCCCCGACCCCAACACTCCCTCCCCTGATCCCAACCGGGCGCCCTCCCCTTACACGTTCGCCGCCCCCTCCCCTTCCGACGACCTCCGCACCCTGCACCTGTCTCTTATACACATCTAGATGTGTTTAGCAGCACTGAGCATAGGGCCCCCGGGGAGATTATGTCGTATGCTTCCAACCGGGCTGCCTGAGCTGTCACTTCCGCCACCTTGCTGATCACTACTGGGGGAACAGTTAGGGGCCATTGAACCACCCAGTCCCCTTGTTCAATCGAGGGGCCTTTCTTCAGGGGCGGGATCCATGCAAGAGGTATGGCTTCTTGGAGC